TGACGGGGGTTCTGACGGGCGTTTTGACGGGAGTTTTGACGGGGTTTTGACGCGTGGTTTTTTCAACCTTCTCCAGACAAAAAGGTTTAAACCAAAGAACAGGTTTTGAATGGAGTTTGGAAGAGGGTTTTGATGGGGGTGTGAGGTTTTGATGGGAGTTTTGACGGTGGTTCCGACGGGGTTTTGACGGGGGCCTCGACGGCTGTTTTGACGGGGGGGGGGGGGGGGTCGGGGGATCTGACATGTTTCCGACGGGGGTCTCGTTTGGATTGTTGCAGGGTGAAGTGGTTGATGTGGACGATCCTGGCGCTATCGACGTGGAAGCCGAGGCTGCGCCGGCGAAGGCTTGTAATGCCTGGCGCACTGCTGGTGAGTCCTTCAGTCGTGCTGTGTGATGAGCAGGCGTCAGATACGATGCGTGGATCCAGAGACATGTGCGAGCCCAATGACAGTGATAGCTGCAAGCGTGGCAGGCCCGTGGGGCAGATTGCAAAAATTGAGGTCGCCCACGCCGCCTGCGCCTGCGCCTGCAGTCGAAGAAGCAGTGGGCCTAGATGGCATTGATGGGCCACATGTTTTCTGCATTTGCTGACTGTTTGGCTGGCGGTCTCAAAGTCTGTAGCGCAGTGCAAGAGCGCTCTGCAGAATTTGTACGTTTGAGGGTGCTCCCGCTCAGGGAGAAGTTCCAGTGGCAGATCAGTCAGGCCCTTGCACGCTGCTGCTTTGGCAAATATAGCTGACGACACGCGCGCAGGCAACTTGACACAGCGCTAGCAGAGGGTTCTGCTGGGCCTGCCTTCCGGCCTGAGGCCAGTTGTGTCACAGCGGGTGTGCAAGTCGTGTGGTGCTTTGTGGTTCCGTGTGCTCCTCAGGCAGCAGGCGCTGAGTCTGCAGATTTGTGCAAGCCCAAGGTGTGTTCCAAGGGGTTGGTGCGTGTGGACATGTGACAGCAGACAGGCGCGCGGATTGCCAACTTGAGGCATTCCACGCTTGTGCCTGCGCCTGCGCCTGAAGTTGGAGAGGCAGTGGGCCTAGATGATTGCTGCAGGAGAGGGCTCTCAGAGGGCTCTCAGAGACAGGATGGCGGTCCTTCGCCAAAGCTCTTGGGTGCTGCAGGTGCCAGTTTCTGAGCTTCGGACGTTGTTCGCACCCTTGCTGCGGCGGTCAGGTCCGGAGCAGGATGCCGATGCGGCGAAGCAAGCAGACGGCGGCGTGTTGGAGGCGCAGTGGGTTTGGCGTCGGGTTTGGCAGTGATCGCAGGAAGGCGCCGCAGGCGCTGAGTCTGCAGATTTGTGCAAGCCCAAGGTGTGTTCCAAGGGGTTGGTGCGTGTGGACATGTGACAGCAGACAGGCGCGCGGATTGCCAACTTGAGGCATTCCACGCTTGTGCCTGCGCCTGCGCCTGAAGTTGGAGAGGCAGTGGGCCTAGATGATTGCTGCAGGAGAGGGCTCTCAGAGGGCTCTCAGAGACAGGATGGCGGTCCTTCGCCAAAGCTCTTGGGTGCTGCAGGTGCCAGTTTCTGAGCTTCGGACGTTGTTCGCACCCTTGCTGCGGCGGTCAGGTCCGGAGCAGGATGCCGATGCGGCGAAGCAAGCAGACGGCGGCGTGTTGGAGGCGCAGTGGGTTTGGCGTCGGGTTTGGCAGTGATCGCAGGAAGGCGCCGCAGGCGCTGAGTCTGCAGATTTGTGCAAGCCCAAGGTGTGTTCCAAGGGGTTGGTGCGTGTGGACATGTGACAGCAGACAGGTGCGCGGATTGCCAACTTGAGGCATCCCACGCCGCTTGTGCCTGCGCCTGCGCCTGAAGTTGGAGAGGCAGTGGGCCTAGATGATTGCTGCAGGAGAGGGCTCTCAGAGGAGGGCTCTCAGAGACAGGATGGCGGTCGTTCGCCAAAGCTCTTGGGTGCTGCAGGTGCCAATTTCTGAGCTTCGGACGTTGTTCGCGCCCTTGCTGCGGCGGTCAGGTTCGGAGCAGGATGCCGATGCGGCGAAGCAAGCAGACGGCGGCGTGTTGGAGGCGCAGTGGGTTTGGCGTCGGGTTTGGCAGTGATCGCAGGAAGGCGCCGCTTGTGGAGGCTTAGAAGGCAAATGAAACGAATGAAAATGAGAGAGCATTAGAAAAGCAATGTGTCCCGTCAGTCTTCCTCCTGCTCCATTACCTTCCCTCTTCTGCCCACGTGTCCTCCTCTCCCTTCCCTTCCCTTTTCCATGGGTTCGTGACTCCAGTGTCAGGTCCTGACCGCTCTGCAGCAGAGTCCGACCGAGGCTGGCGGGTTTCCTGTCCAGTCTTGCGCGTGCCCACATATAGGCTGGCTACATGGCCTTGGACGGCGCCAGAACTGAGGAGGCTCTGGTTATGGGGTTTGGTCGAACGGCTTGCGGAGCATGCTGCTCAGGCGTTCTGTCTGGCGCTCCAGTCGTACATGCTGATGCGGAGCGGGCAAACTTTTTCTGGCGACACCCTGAGCTTCGTGTGGCAGACGCTGCAAGATACCTCGGGCGACATTGCCGGGCAGTTGCTGACGGACGTGGCCTCGGATCGCTGTTTGTGTGTGCGACTTTGAGTGGCAAAGTCATGAGGAGCTTTTCGGGCCTACCACGAGCTTCCTGGAGGGATTTTCGCAGGCCAGCTGTGTGTTTGCGTGTGTGTGTGTGTGTGTGTGTGTGTGTGTGTGTGTGCGGAGTGGCAGAAAACCCTGCCACCAAAACCGTTTTCTGTTGCAGCAGGGGGCCAGCGGCCATCAAGCAAACGCTGGCCAACGAAGCTATGCTTGATGGTGGATGCACGGATTGATCACCCGTGTGTACCTGCTTTTGTGAAGTGATGTTGAGGAAAGTCCAGTTGGCCGCTTCTTTTGCCGCTGTGTGTGCTTCATGTTGAACCTTGTAACGTTTTCGACACTAGAGTGAAGCCAAGTGACCTGCCAGCCGAACCTTATCCGACTTGAGACTTGTCAGTTGTACTCGAGACTCATCAGTTGTACTCGAGACTCATCAGTTGTACTCGAAAGATTAGCACCCTCCATCTGGAGTTTAAGTGTGTACACCCCATTCGTGGGGAATCCTCGGGTGTGCCCATTGTGTGACCCCGGGCCAGCTCTGTCGGAAAATTTGACCTCAGCGTGCTGATCATAGAACAGCGGAATTTCACATTTAACCAGGAACGAGGTTTCACTAAAGGGAAGAAAGCCGTCAGATCATAGCGACGTCTCACCCTACGTCCCCCCTTTTTTCTCGCCTTCTTCATCCGCGTGCCCGTCTTCTGGTCCTTCGCCCGCTTAGGGATGGCTTCTCCTTCCTCCCGTTCTCTTTTTGCTGCCTTTCGTGACCCGCGCGTTCGTCCCGCTCCTGTTCGCCCGCTTAGGGATGGCCTGGTTGTCCTCGCGTTGTTCACCTTTTTCCTCGTCTTCGTCTTCGCGTCTGTCTTCCTGTTCCTACTCCTCTTCTTCCTCACGTAGTTTGGCTTGACGTCTTCTTCCCCTTCCGTTGCTACTTCGGGTACGTCCTCTTGGCCCCTGTGCGGGATTCGACGTCTTTCTCCGCGAGCCTTGGTCTTCATCCTCTGTTCCTATCTGGGCGGGATGCGTCGCCCTAAAAACGCATACTACTCCTTCCCTCTTCCCTCTTCCTCTTCTTTCTTCCTTCTTCTTTCTTTTCTCCTTTTGTCTCCTTGCCTTTTGCTTCTTGTTCCTTCTTCCCGGGCGGGATGCAGCGCCCTAAATACACACCCTGATCCTTTCTTTTTTCCCCCGGGCGGTTGCGACGCCCTAAATACGCTTCTGTCTCTCTCTCTCTTTCTCTCTCTTTTTCTGTGTCTGTCTCTCTCTCTCTCTCTCTCTCTTTCTTTCTCTCTTTCGTCCCTTTCTTTCTTCCCTTTCTTTTTCTTTCCCTCTCTGGGCTATTTCTTGTACTTCCTGTTCGCCCGGTTAGGGATGGCCTGCTCCTCTTCTGCCTCTTTGCCTTCGCGGCCCCTTTCGTCTACAAGGTCTAGGTCGTTTTTGTGCTGGTTGGGGTTGTTGCCCTCGGAGACCCGAAACCTGGCTTCCCCGTTGTTCTTGTTTCTTGTTTGGGGTTTTGCCCGCGGAGACCCAACCTGGGGCCTTTCTGTTTCTTTTGGGCTCCCTTGCTCCGTTTGTTTTCTGTTGGGGTCTTCGCCCGGTTTTGGGGCGCGTGGTTTTTCTCCCCCCGAAAAAGTGGTTCTCGCCCCTCGTAGAGGGGCGTGTGTGTGCGGAGTGGCAGAAAACCCTGCCACCAATCTTTTCTTCGATCTTCCTGCAGGAGAAAAGAGAAACCTCGCCCCTCGTAGAGGGGCGTGTGTGTGCGGAGTGGCAGAAAACCCTGCCACCAAAACCGTTTTCTGTTGCAGCAGGGGGCCAGCGGCCATCAAGCAAACGCTGGCCAACGAAGCTATGCTTGATGGTGGATGCACGGATTGATCACCCGTGTGTACCTGCTTTTGTGAAGTGATGTTGATGAAAGTCCAGTTGGCCGCTTCTTTTGCCGCTGTGTGTGCTTCATGTTGAACCTTGTAACGTTTTCGACACTAGAGTGAAGCCAAGTGACCTGCCAGCCGAACCTTATCCGACTTGAGACTTGTCAGTTGTACTCGAGACTCATCAGTTGTACTCGAGACTCATCAGTTGTACTCGAAAGATTAGCACCCTCCATCTGGAGTTTAAGTGTGTGTGTGTGTGTGGGTGCGTGCGTGCGTGCGTGCGTGCGTGCGTGCGTGCGTGCGTGCGTGCGTGCGTGCGTGCGTGCGAACAAGCGAGGAAATCTGAAGGATTGGTTGGACCCCTTGCCTGTTGTGGCTTGCTCGTGTTTAGTGCGTGCGTGTGCGTCTGCCTGTCGGTGTCTCTGTCTGTGGTGAAATTTTGTGTCTGTGTCTTTGTGCGTGTCTGTCTTGGCTAGTGTCTGCGCCTGTTTGGGTGTCCGTGTGTCCGTGTCTGTGTCCCTCGTGGCGTCTGAAGCAGCACTGGTTGGTTGAGGCGGACCCTCCGAGGGAGCCATCAATGCAGCCGGATGCTCGGGAGGCGGGTAGTGAGTTCCTACGTAGCTCTGCCAGTCAGCATCTCACGCAGCCGGAGGGTCCTACGCCAGAAGATCTCAGAGCAGAGATCAAGCAGGTCGTGCTTGCTGGGCTCAAGAGGCTGGATGTGGGCGAGGATAAGTGGAACTTCTCGGCCAAGGCGTCGCGGCCAGATTGCTTACAAGCATTGTTTTTTTCGAGTCCAGGATGTTCGGCACACCGTGGAGCGGCGTCTGGATCTTGATCGTGGTGCCCTTCTGCCGCGAAAGGACCCTTGCCAGCGGATGACCCCTGGCATGTGTGTTGGTTCACGCTGGGTTGGCCCGGTTCGGTTGGTGAGCAGATCGGTTCGGAGCCGTTTCATGGAATTGATTCATTCGGAATTGGATATCGGTTCTGGTCCGGTCGGTGCCTCGCTTCGGTTCCTGCTGATGCGGGCAACATGTATATAATTGCCTAAGTTCTGAAACAGACGCTTCACCAGTGGCACCCTGGTACATTCACTCACAGAATCCATGACATGGGACAAGGCTGTGAGAAGTAGGAACGTAGACCCCGCAATTCTGCTTGCCAATTGCCAGGCCAATTTGTGATCAGAAACGCCTACTTGTTTAATCCCAGGCAGAATTCCTATCTTTCAGTAGCATCGCAATTAAACAGAGAACAGAGATTCCGCCCAATCAAACTACATGCGGTTGCAGAGGGGCCTCTAAAATGGTTAAGACCCTTGATTTCAAAGAACGAAGGGTGCAGTTTCAAGGAGCTGCCAATTGAAAGGTAGCTCAGCAATGGTACACCCTGAGTGTTTTTCAGTGGAAGGGCGATTACAGGTGGAAGTGCAACATCGCTTTTGTGCACCTTTTCTACCTTTCAGTAGCAAAGCCAATTGACATGTGCCATTCTACAGTCTAAGACGGCGAACTGAAAGGTAGAAATTACACACGCTAATGCGTTACTCTCTACCTTTCATGCAGTAGAACGAAGAACTGACAGGTAGAAATTCAACACTGTTTGATTGACCACTTTTCTACCTTTCAGTAGAAGGAACAACTGAAAGGTAGAAATTCCACATTGTTTGCGTAGCCATTTTTCTACCTGTCAGTAGAAGGAAGAACTGAAAGGGACATTGCTAGCTTGCGCCAATGTTTCAGTAGAAGGACATGCAACAGTGTTAGCAAAAGTTTGTGCCATGTAGTGCGATTCGGTTCTGACGTTTTGCTGTCATTGAGGGGTCCCAATGTTGACAAACTGATGCAAACGCCGAACATCCGCTCCCAATGGCCTTGCGTGGCCTGAGCTCGTGTCTATGGCACGCATCCGCTTGGACAGCCACACAGTTCACGCCGCAGCTTTTGCCCCTAATGCATGAAGGGTGACCAGTGTCTCAGAAGCTCAGATTAGGGATTGGGATTCCTTTCCAGGCAGGATCGCAAGCTCCGGATCCCCTTGAAATCATTTTCATTTGGGGGCTCATCGTTCTGAGGTTTCCTCGCTTTCACATAGCCCGACCACTGGGCCCATAGATATTCACGCATGCTTTCGCTTTCGCCAGACATGCTGCGGCGCATTCGAAACATGAGAAGGCAGCCGCCCGAGTTTGAGCAGCTGCGCTTGCAGCAGCTGCCGGGGGTTTTCCTGCAAGCCTTGCTGCTGCGCGGCTTGTTTGATGCGCATTTCGACAAGCAGGGGCAATCAGAGAGCGCGTGGAGCAGGACCCGTGCGGAGAGGTCGTACGAGCGTTTGCTGGAGGCGCACGGTGTGCCCACGGCGATGTTGCACGACCAGCAGAGTGTGCGCTGGCAGTGGCTCCGTGGCCGTGGTGGCGTTGTCAAGACCGTGTCCTTGGCGCAGATCCTGGAAGGCAAGGTTAACTTTGAGGGCACAGATCGCGCCTCGTTGGTAGCTGCCAGAATGATACAAGGCCTGCCAGTGAAACACGGGGCTCGGCGATCGGCAGCTTTGGTGCTTGGCCGTTTTTCTTCACTGCCATTAAACCAAGCCTTGAGTAGGAAGATTGGGGAAGGCCAGGAGAAGCTCCTGCCAAGCAGCTTTTGGGGCTTCCTCGACGAGGTCATCTCGGAGGCGGAGCACGCGGGGAGCCTACTCACGGATGGGTTCGGCAAGGCCGAGCGGCGCTCCATCCTGCTGAAGCCAGCAGAGGAGGCCGCGTGGTACTTGCGCAACGCAGTGCGCCACTGTCGAGCTCTGTCAGCGGAGCTCGGCAAATGTGCAGACGGACGCTCGCAGGCGCTGACTCTATCTGCGGCGCTGCCCCAGCTGCAAGCGAAGAACGTTCAAAGTTTGATGAATATCCATGGCCTCACATCTGACAAATTGATACTATGCGGCCCTGGCTGTCTCCGAATGCTGACCCAATGTGCTGGACTCCACAGGCTGTGGTTCCCGACTGGCCGCCCCACACAGGCTATGCTTGACCAGGCCCACGTTCTGCTTCAGGGAGGGCGCAAACAGCTCAGGAAGGGCTTGAGGTCCGTGATCAAGGGCTGGAGCGTTTGGCCGCAGCTGGCCGCGGCTGCAGCTGCCTCCCTGGCTTCCGGTGACTGGAGCGCCATGCGCGTGCAATTTCATTTCTGTGAGCTGAGCAAGATGACCCGGCGTGCTTATTTGATAGGCCAAGTCTGCGAAGAGCAGGTGCAGGCCATGGATGAGGAAGGGGAAGACGGAGACAGGAAAAAGGGCCGCTGCGGGGCTTCGGCGCGCTGCGGGGGGCAGGCTCCAACACGGCTCCCCCGAGACCCGGCCCAATTGATCCAAATTCAAACAAGTTCGAGGGGCTCGCTTGTTGTCTTACTTGAAAAGATTGCTGCTTGCGCGGGGGTGTCAGTAACGGGGGTCTGAAGGGCGTCTGAGGGCGGACTGATTCCATACGTAGATCCATAAGTTGCCCTTGCCCACCCAGACATGAGTTGCTCGGGAGTTTGGGTATATCTTTTTGAGAGGGTTTTGCGGTTGTGCGGTCCGGGCGGAACCTGCCCAAAAGAGTCGTTTTCGAAAGGTTGTGCCCCCTGGGTGGAACCTGCCCAAGAGAGCCGTTTTCGCAAGGTTGTGCCCTCAGGGCGGAACCTGCCCAAAAGAGCCGTTTTCGTCAGGCTGTGCCCCCTAGAAACCCGCGCATGCACCTCAAGAACTCAAGTTTCTTCATGCCAGCTGCCTTGGCATCCCATCCACTTACCTGTTGGCCGACCGCCTGTCCCCCTGCATGTCCTATTTGTTTGTCAGGAAACCGCTGCGGTGCTCCAAGGCGTCTACGCATATGAAGCGCTCAGACCCAATTTCAAACCAGTTTCAATCTAATTCAGACACCCAAATGATGGCCAAGGCTTCCCCAGCTTTGGCTCATTTTTTATCGGTTCGGTTCTGGCCCATCCTGTTCATGTGAAGCTGGCAGGAGGAGTTGCTGCAGCTGCTCAATGATATTTTGGCTGGCTTGGAGGCAGGCTTTAGCTCTTGCAGTTGAGGCCACTGGCTCGAGTGGACCTGCGTATGCTGGCGGGAGGGATATGATGGCGCGGGGAGGCAGACGACAACGGCCCCGTAGATGATGAGGCCGTTGCCCAAGTTGCGTGGCGTGGCGCTGTTCGAGTCAGGACCTTGAAGCCCCGGGGACGGAGGTGCATCGTGTGAGCGGATAGTGCGTGCATTTGTGCCTTGATGGACAGGCAAAGCAGCGAGACGCAAGGAGTGCCAATGCGGGGACTCGGCCAAGCAAGAAGGATAACCCGAAGGATAAGGCGCCCGCTGTTTTCGCCCGCGCGTTCGGCCCTGCAGCGCCTGGTCCCTCGTTGCCAGGGAGCTGGTCGTGGGTCTGCCGCGGTCAAGAGGGCTCAGGAATTACCGTGCGTTCATTGCTTATATGCTTCATTGTGGTGTCTCGTCCAGCTTTCCCTGTGCAGGAAGACGGGCCGCAGTCTAAGAAGAGGAAGCAGGCGAGTCCTTTCAATTGTGGCTGTGCCTGGTGGGTGTGTTGGGGCAGCGTGGGGCAGCCGCAGGGACCGTGCGTCGCTGACTTGCGGGCCAGCTGCAAAGCCAAGGGTCTGAAGGCAGGTGTCGCGAAAGCCCATGAAAGCGTGCAGAATCAGACGCTTGCGCCGGCGCAGGCCACAGGCACCAAGGAGCAGCTTCTTGCAAGGCTGAGCCTGACCGAGCCAGAAAAGCTGTCTGAGGAATCAAAAGGGCTAGACGGGACCAGCAGGCGGAGCGGTGTCCAGCCTGCGGAGATGTTTGAGCCCCCCACAGGGCAAGCAGGCCGAGCCATGCGGAGCAGTGCCGAGCCATGCGGGGCGGTGCCCAGCCTCCGTGGACCCATCAGGCGTAGCGCCAGGGCATGCCTCCTTTGCGAGAGCACACCTGAGGAGGTTCCATGGAGGCGCAGCCGCGGCCACCTGCCAGAAGGGGCGAGGTGCGCCAGTTGTGATGCCTTTGCGTCTCGGCTTTTTATGCCTGCGTGCCCCTAGAGTTCTTTTGCTGCTTCGCCATTGCATGCGTTTGTCTCCAAATATGTCTTTTCCTTCTTTGGAGCTTCGACCGAAAAACGGCGTGTTGAGCGCTGGCTGCATCTTTGGTGGCTGTGTGTGTGTCTTAAACAAATGCAAAGCGTGCGCTAGTAGGTAGCCTACGTATGTCGGCTTGCGTTCTGAGGCGCGGGGGGAGTTTGAGCTGCCGATGCCGCGGCGTCACAAGTGCCTGCGCGATGTAGGGACCTACTCGGAGTTCTGGCAGCGCGTTGCCGAGGCGAGTCCTTCTAAAGGAAGACTGGCTGTTTCGCAATGCTGCTTCTGACAGGCGCCTTCCTTCCGCAAGAAGCTGGTGCAGATCCTGCCATCGCCAAGGCGTGCTCTGCGGGATTACTTGGAGGGCCAGGAGGCAAAGACGCAAGTGACGCAGAGCAGCGGGCTTGTCCTGACGTCTACCGCATTTGATATCTGGCGCAAGGCGGGGGGGGGGCATGTGACCTGTGTTGCTTGCTTGCTTAGAAGAGCGCTCATCCCAGCTTGTATGTATGCACGCCTGGACTTCTGCTGGCCCGGCAGTGTGATTACCTCCGCGAGTATGGCGCTGTGCAGCACCCAGCCGTGCTCTGCGGCAACAGCGGCAACTGGGTGAAGAAGCCGGCGGACACGTGGAATGTTCCGTGCACGGCCCCAGTTTTTTGCTTTGTGTGCTGGTTGCGTGCCGGGAGCTTGGGCCCCCCTTCCAGAGGCCTTTCAGGCCCGTGTCTGGATCGTGAATCTGGCCTTGGGGCTCCTGACAACACCCGGATGGGCCAA